ATGAGTGATGTGGTGAAAGTAGATAAGGAAAAGTTATTTACTTATTCTCATAATACAAGAATCTAGGGCCACCAAATGAAATTAATGGGCAGCAGGTTTAAAACAAATAAAAGGAAGTTCTTCTTCACACAGCGCACAGTCAACTTGTGGAACTCCTTGCCTGAGGAGGTTGTGAAGGTTAGGACTATAACAGGGTTTAAAAAAGAACTGGATAAATTCATGGAGGTTAAGTCCATTAATGGCTATTAGCCAGGATGAGTAAGGAATGGTGTCCCTAGCCTCTGTTTGTCAGAGGGTGGAGATGGATGGCAGGAGAGAGATCATTTGATCATTTCCTGTTAGGTTCACTCCCTCTGGGGCACCTGGTGTTGGCCGCTGTTGGTAGACAGGATACTAGGCTAGATGGACCTTTGGTCTGACCCAATACGGCTGTTCTTATATAATCTGCATTTTGGTCTACTCTCTTATTGATAAATCAACAAATACAGACATTTTTTGCCTTAGATCATTATCTACAGATTTCTGTGTTCAAGGAGGTTACACATACATACTAGAATTGTTTACTGGTCAGATATTCTTATTAAAATGGTTTATTGCCAGCCTTATGGTAGCTACTCTCTGCCTATGTTTCGGCTTTCCCTTGAGATATATTGCATGGTAAGTTGTAAAGCTGCTGCCACATTCAAATGGTTTGGTACTTTTAAGAACACTAAACCATTAGACCACCAAAGGAAGAAAAATAATGCCATAGATTTCCTATGTGACCTTGGACACAGAACTTAATACTTTTGTGTCTGGTATGCCTATCCATTAGATGCCATCTACATTTCATGAAGTGAAACTGAAATAATCATTTCTGAAATATAAAGGTTTTTTTTTGATTCTTGAATGGAAGGTGTCATGGAATCCAAAGTATTATTTCTTATTTATTTGTTGAACATCTCATTGTGCTTTTTGCTATGAGAGAAAAGAAGAAACTGTTCTGTTTGATGTCTTAATATAAGCTGAATAGAGAGACAACTCAAAAGACCCATTGAACCACATGGACACCAATTTTGAATATGCATATGTGCTGTGCCCTACTGAATGGTTTTAGGTGTAGGAATGAGACACAGAACTTTGGATATGGTTATCTCACAAGTTATCTCCCACGCAAATTGTTTGACTTGCATGAGAGCATGGCATATGTAAGAATGTTGCAACCTGTTGTCATGAGGGTGAGGTGCCTCTGGGTCTCTCTATAGTCTTATGTGTGCTTCCAGTAGAGCTCACTCTGTCCTGACATTTGAAAGAATAAAATAAACTATATTTTATTTAAAAAAATTTCTGTTGTGATCATAACCATAGTATGAGAGTGTCTACAAATACAAATGATGTTTACAGACGCACTGTTTTAAAATTAATGATATAAATTTTGGGGCAAAGAAAAAAAATCTTCCTAAGTCAGAAATATTTCTATTTGTTTGTTATGGAATTAAATACTTTTTGATTGATGCAAAGTTATAATATCTAGTATTAAAATATATTTTTTTGTTCTTGTTAATTAGGATTGTATTGGCCTTTTATGTTGTGGAAAAAATATGATTCACCGATTTTGAGTTATTCTTAAAGAGAATTTATGCATTTTTAAGTACATTTTAAGTAATCACAGCTTTTTGGCCTAAGGCTAAAACAGTTAAAAGTTTCATGGCAAATATCTTGATATATTAACATTTATACTTTCATATTTTGAAGACTAGTCTTGATTTAAAATTAAAAAAATATAAAACACACTGGGAATTTTAATATTATTCTGATGTTCATTATGAACCTAAATGTGTTATGTTTAGAGCCCTACCAAATTCACGGATTATGAAATCTCCTCTCCCTGTGAAATCTCCTCTCCCCGTGAAATCCTTCTGTGCTGCCTTCAGAACTGGGTGGCTGGAGAGTGGTGGCTGCTGGCTGGGCACCCATCTCTGAAGGCTGCGCTCATGTTAGTAGCAGCGCAGAAATCAGGGTGGCATGGTATTGGGTGTGTGTGTGTCGTAATAGCCTGCGATATTTTGAGAGGGGGTCCCAGCAAAAAAAGAACCCTTGATTTAGCAGACTCCCTTATCCAGGGAGGCTTACAAGCCTAATAGTAGTACAGTACAATATTTATATATTTACTGTCTGAACACATCCGTGAAATTTGCTGTTTATGCCATGACCAACCTGCGAAAAATGTGTGATTTCTCCACAGTTTAATTAGACCCCTAGTTATGTTTCTTCAGGAGCAGATGATGAGGGAGGAGTCAGTAAAACTGCAGCAAAAGCACAGGGATCAGACTTCAGCACGTGCTTAGCTTTACACACTTCAAGTGGACTTCAATGGGACTGCTTACAGTGTGTAAAATTAAGCACTTATGTATTAGGTGTTGGTTTTGTGGTATTGCTTAGCAGCAAACTATTTGTTTTTAATTTCCATCCGAAGCATGTGTTTATTCAATTTCAAATTTGCAGCAAACATAATTAATCTATTAGGAGGTAGAAGTGGCCCTTTTTGAGGCTTGATTTTTTAGTTTATAAATGTGCATGCATATTGTTACACAAATGTCTAAATATTATCTATACACAACACTATTAATAAAATATTCATTAAATATTAATTAAGGTATAGAAATTTATCCTTCTAGTTTTTAAGCCCCATCTATAAAAACAAATAAAAAATAATCACCTCAAAAATTCTGCCTCTAGTGTGGGTCAATGCATGTATAATATTTTGTAATTGCAAAATGCTATCTTTTTTGAATTTTTTTTTTAATTAATCTTGTTGAGTTTCACTAAAGGTTTTATTTTGAAGTTAACAATTACTATGGTAGCAGAACTAAATTTGTACTGCAATTAAAAAAGAAAAAGAGAGAGATGGGGATAATTGTCCTAATTCTGCTTTTGTGGTTAAAATACTTTTAAAATTATTTATGCAAATATTAATCCTGGAATCATTTTTCAGATGCATCTTAAATTAATTTTCTCCCAACATATTACAAAGAGCCATTATGTTCAGATGGCTTGGTCCCACAGAAAACTATACACTTTTTTTTTTTGGTTGAAGCTACTATAACAAATTTACCCATCTTACTTTGCAGATATTTACAGAAAGCCTTCTGTGTTCAAGCCATCTAGAAAATATACACCTAGCTGGGGAAATGATGCATTGCAGTGTTTGGTCAGTGGATCCACCAGTTGGTGTTGCGTCAAAAGGAAAACCACGGTATAGAGTTAGCTATGAGAAAAGCATCAAACTGGTTTTGGCTGCTGGCAGAGAATACTTCAATTCTTCTACCAGTCTGACTGATAGCTGCATGGATTTGGCCAGGTATAGTAAAACACATTCTCTCTCTCCCTCTCTCTCTTCAATATTCTTTACCTTTTGATTCCTTGGGGGTGAGGGATAGCTCAGTGGTTTGAGCATTGGCCTGCTAAACCAAGGGCTGTGAGTTCAATCCTTGAGGGGGCCACTTGCGGGATCTGGGGCAAAATCAGCACTTGGTCCTGCTAGTGAAGGCAGGGGGCTGTACTCAATGACCTTTCAAGTTCCCTTCCAGTTCTAGGAGATGGGATATCTCCATTAATTATTATTATTATTTTAAATGTAGTAGATGTTGAATTTGACTGAAAAAGAGCTTTGGCCAGATTCCCCTCTACATTCTGTCCCCTTGTGCAAAGCAAGTAGGGGATAAAAACGCTGTAACCACAGTTTCTCTGAGGAGCCCGCCCCCACTTCCTTTGCAACCCCTTGGAACCATGGATTCCTATGTCACATCTAGCATTACAAGAGATGCCATAAGTAAGATGGTAATGGAGAGAGTTTGTGGAGAAGAATAATGCAATACCATTAAATGTTTGTGTGATGAACTGGTCTTTGTTCTTGTTTAATGTGGTCTTTGCTGAATGGGGAGTGTTGGCTGGGAATGCAGGGGAGTGTGGCTAGGATGGTCTGCATTGGGGGATTGGAGACTGGCCTTGAGGGAGAATACCTGAGCGTGTAACATGAGAACCCAGGAAGGGGTTAGAGGCCAGGTGACACCTTTGCCCAGGAAACTGAACAAAGTCTGAGGAGAGAGTTTCAGGAGCTGGCTGGTAATGAAGGGAGCCCAGACAGGGCTCTGACCTCCCAAGGGGGGCTGTGGTGCCCTGGGACCCCAAGATGCACCTAATTTGGGGGGGGGGTTCTGTTGTCTGTGCCTGCAAGACCTGTCTTCGACTGTAGTCCTGTCATCTAAATAAACCTTCTGCTTTACTGGCTGGCTGAGAGTCATGGTGAATCGCAGGAAGTCGGGGGTGCAGGGCCTTGTGTCCCCCCCCACACTCCGTGACAGTTTGGATTTTTTTTTTTAATGTGAGTTTCTCCAGGATGAGATGAAGATGTGTGTACTTTCTTCTGATTCAGCTTTGAAGATGTGAAAGTACAGGAGGCTGTCTGGCTGGGATAAGTTGCTTTCTGTTGCACAGCTTCTCACCTCATTGATTCTTAATGGGCTAATCCTCCCCACGTATGGAATTTGGAGGCAGTTCAATGTTGTTGCAGGAGGCTCCACTCTCTCACTGCCCTTCACCTCAGCCTACCAGCCTTTCTGCCTCTGGCAGTGAAACAAGGTGGCAGTTCATTTCTCTTGACCATTTTATTTTAAACTTTATTTTTATTCGTTTTTGTGCAGTTGCAACTTATGATCCTCCTCCTCCCCTCCATTGGGTAAACAGCAGTATGGTGGTTTCAACCACCTGGATCTGCTGTTGCAGCGCCCCTCTGCCAGATCCCTCTGACCCCACTAGGGCATGGAAGAGCTGTCCCACAAACATCTAAGCCATGCTCTCTATGTGAGGCTGCACTTACAGGCTCTACGAAGGGGGAATAATACCCTGCCTGTTCGCAGATGGCCAGACCTTGCACTGTCAGGCCACAGGGCTCAGAGTTGGACTGACATGTCGGGTCCCCACCCTGCTCCAGTGAACTGTGGCTCCAACACAGAAAAGCCCAATCAGGAGCTTCTGGGTATATGGGGAGAAAGGAGGAGGAGGAAACTATCCAGCTAGCTCAGGGGGTAAGTCCTGCAACAGAGCTGGGCGAGAGGAGGAAAAAGCCTGAAAGGATCCAAAGTCCCCCCCATCCCAGATACTGAAGTGGGTCCTCTGCTCCCTGGGGAAAGAAGCTCCCATTCCTCCCACTGTGAACTGGGGGATTTTCGTGATATTCCGGGGTAAGTCTTATAAATCCCAGAGACTTGAGTCCCAAAGATGCAAAAGCAAGTATCCTTTGCAAGGCAGAGATTAATATCGTTAATGAACAAGGGGTGTGAAAATCCTTCTCCCCCTGAGGAAGTGCTTGCTGGGGCTTTTCTCCTACACAGTCTCTCACAGTGCTCTGTATCATGGATGCTGCCCCTCCCCCACTAGCAGCATGTCTGGGGATGCAGAAGAGCCTGTTCCTCCTGTGCATCCCTGCCTCATGCTGCAACCTACTGCTTGTGGAGCCCATCCAGGACACTGGCTCTGCAAGGGAAAGAGGCTCAGAATTCAGGCAGCAGCAGAATGGGAATTGAGCATTTTGATCATCAGCCATAGCCCCTTGATGTGCCATGGAAAGGGGCGCAGACTCTGGAAGGTGGGGAGGTTTCTCTCTCTCTCTCCACACCCCTCCACAGGCTCCACATGAAAGCCTCAGGAGCACTTCAGGCAGTCTGTGACCAGAACAGAGGCACATGAGGATTCCACTCTACGCAAAGCTGCACCATCATGGGATTACTGGGTGGTAAATGAGAAATATCTTCCTATGTTCAAACTGATCCTGATGGATCCAGTTAAATCCTGAGTGGTACTGGGTTACTCCTGCAGTACTTAGGTGGGTGCTAGCCAGCCTGGGGCAACGGGTAGGCTGCTTTTTAGGCTCCTGGGGACAACTAACAAGCTTCTTCCACAGTCAAGGTATGTGTACCAGTACCCCTCCTCTGTTACATGATTGCCATGCCAGGATGTATAGTGTAGTGCCTCTCCCCTACAAACAGCCAGGGAAGAAATATCAGACATGCATCAAAAGCAAAACCAAAAACCGACAGGACTCTTACAGGACAGCATGTCAGTGGCTTGCAAGGAAATTACTAATATTAATACAGTATTATCCCTTTCAACAATTATTAGATAGGTATTTCCTATTAATGCCTCCTTTGAGGGCATAATAATATCCAGATGAGGACATCCAATTAAACCAAATGTTAAACCAAAATGTTTATATAAAAATGAAAGAAATTTCATACATTTTGGGAGCCTGAGGTTGGTACAGCTGTAGGATCACCAGTGAAAGACAGATGCGCCTTCAGAAGGGGACCTCCTTCCAAATGACCCCATAGACCATAGGATTCGTGACACACTGCACATACAATTTAAAAGCCTCACCTATAGCCATTCAAACCAAAAGGTTTTCATGTATTTGGTAAGGAAAGCTTACTTAGTGGCAGGCAAGTGGATCATCATCTAGGGATATGATCCTTGCTTGGAATGAGCTGTCTCAGGTTCTTCTGTCTTGGTCAAATTCTTGATGTGATTTGTGATGAGCAATGGATTCTATGTTGGTGCTAAAAGGAAGTCATGTAATACCTGTGAATGGTCATCACTCACCCTAAACAGATATCTTGTGCTTCCAAATGAAGAACTGTCAGGGGAAACATTAGAGAAATTAGTAGCTGACATTGCAGAGGCACCCCACCCTTATTGTTGAAGCCAGCAGAGCAATGCATTGATTGCTACTGAAACCAAGAGTACCAAAGAAGGGACTATTACCCTGGCAGAGGGAAAATCTGGAGCACAAGTTTCCAAAGAAACCTAGATACATTTTCCTCCAACCCAACAAAAGCCTTAGCATGACAAAGACAAAAAGCATTTTGTGTATAAGAGCACACAACTCCTGTGCAAGAGTCTTCCTTCTGGTTCACCCTCTGCTCCCAGAATCTTGAATGGCTTGTGGTAGTCACAGCAAGACACAGGTTGCATGTTGTACACTTATTCCCATTCAGAGACAACATTCCAGTTAGTATCCCATCCAGAGAAACAGACTAGTTCTTAAATGAACAGCTGCTGGAAAGGATTCATGGCTACCAATTCCTCAAAATCAAGAGTTTTTGATCCCAGTGCAGAGAATTGCTCACCCAGAGATCAAAACAGACATGGCTCTGGCCATAATTTTACCACAGTGGAAAATATTGTAGAGATTCAGAACTTGATTACATCAGTCATTTCCTGAGGAGTCATCCAATGGCTAGAATTGCTAATGTTAGAGGTATCACAGCTTCATTCACTGAGTGGGTTTCTCAAAATGCACCTCCTGAAATTCCTTCTGAAGACATAGAACCATGCACTTGACGTAATGCAAAATTAGGCATCATTCTGAGATCACATCCAAATGCCCCTTTCTGGGCAGGTAAGCACAAACAACATGCTGCAAGACAAAAAAGGTCGCTCTAGACTTTTGCATACAAGTATATATGGAACACAAATTTTCTAAAATCTTATGGTACACATTCTTTAGTTCATTTCAACCCTCATAAACGTGTTAATCTTTAAAAAGCCACATCAAATTGGACCAGTGCTCCATCATCTCTGGTATCCTGTCTGTGATAGTGACTGGTACCAGCTGCTTCAATAGAAGGTTCAAGAAACCATGTAGTGGGTTATTATGATACTCACAGAGGAAGTCTCTTCCTACCTCCCATTAGAGGTTGGCTTATGATTGAGGCATGAGTGTTTATATCCATTCCAAAATTAAGGAATAGCAAGACGTCAAAGCTTCTCCGTTACGATGGAAAAAAATGTCCTGGACAGTGAAGAATCTGTTGCCTTTCAAGACAGTTCACCTAAAGGATACAAAAAGGGAAAGTTGAAGTCATCCTAGTCTTCCAATGGACTTACTAGGTATCTAAGGACTTCACATTGCACCTGAAGAATATACCTGATCTCTTAAAGCTGGGGGATGCATCTTTCATCCGGACCTGAAACACCTACAGCTAACACCCTGGCCATCAGAAAAGAAGTGTAGTTCAGTATAGATTGTCCATTAACTTCTGATACAATTTGATATCCAGACAGAACTCAACCAGGGTATTTCATTTATTGATCTGGTCAAATTTATGTTTCTGGTGTGAGGGGAAATGGAAACCTCTTTGTTTGTGCAGTGCCCAGCACAAATGGACCCTGACCTTTAGATGCTGTTATAATAATCATAATCAGAATAATACAAATAACCAGAATAATTACTTCAGTTTCAGTCACATCAACATACATTTAAAAATGTAAAAAACAAAACAAAACCCAAATAACAAAAAACACAACTTGTGCTTAAAATTAGGCCTATTTTCAGCATCTTGCAGTTCCTATGTGACCAAGTCACTTGTCCTCTCCATGTTACCTGCACAATTTGGAGCTCCCAACCCCATCCCAGGGACCAGTGGCCCTCTGTGGGCTAACGGGACCTTGTCCCAGTGACAGAGCCTTTGTCACACGGTAGATATTCTTAAACATGTACATGTATTGATTAGCAATTAACAATCAACAGAATACACATGCCAAGCATCTAATGTTCAACTCTCCCAATAAAGCAGACAGAGTCTCCCAATGGCCAATCAGGATCCGATCTTCTCCGTGGCTCCAGCTTCTACACAACCTAGTCATGCAGGGGTTAAAAAATCCTAGCAACTTTGGTCTTGAGCTGTATCCCAGAGTTAAGTTCCAATGAGCTTGTTCTCTGACCCTCATTATATAGTTAAAATGAGGATTTCTTTTATCTATGCCTTAACCAGTTATTTTACTTAAATTGTAGTTATGCAAAAAAACCCACTAACTATACAGAGCTCTACATGCTTAAGACCACCTACTCATTAGCTTTTGTATTTTTCACAGTTAGTAATAACTTCTCAAGAACTACGTATCTTTACGCCTCATTAGTGGGATACACTTGCAACAGCAAAACCTCCTATTTTTTATTATCAGGAAGAAGCTACAGAAACTCAAGGTTAGCTTGTCCATTCGCTCCCTATTCTCAGGACTTTGTGAATATATATCTATCCCTGTTAGAAAAGTATCAGCTGCACCATTACTATCTGCCTACGTCAAGGTGAATTCTCCTGACTCTATAGTTTTTTGTTTTCAACTTATGGTGGCTGCTGGTTATGCTAAGTCCATACACAAGATAGCTGTGAGTCAAGTCCAGGCTCTCATTACATTCTGTGCTTCAGTTTCTGATCTATAAAGGGGGAGTAGTTATCCAACCTCTACTATTGGGTGTTCTGAGGTTTATCTCAGTAATTTTTGGAAAGTGCTGTGAGAGTCTTAAACAGAGGATATAAAAGTGCATATACCTGTTTTGTTTTGGTCAAGTAGCCATAACTGCTGCTTATCATCCTGATCGACATTCTCTCATTGTTTCCTTGTACTCCTCCTGTCCATATGTCTCTCTCTGGTCTCGTATCTGTAAACTCTTTGTGGTGGGATCCATCTCTTTGTTCTGTAGTGGTAAAGCACCTAGCACAGTGGAGCCCTGATCGTCTGGATTCTACCACAATGCAAATAACAAGTAATAATTTTCTCTTCAGTATTTCAATCCCATTTCCTTTTCTTTCCTTCTTTATTTCCCTTTTTTCAATGGAGCTGCCTCACTGCACTTCATCCCTTTCTTTTTAGGAACAATTTTTTTTCTCTCAAAGAAATAGAGATGTCCCCTTCATCACAAGATAATTATATCTAACGTGGGAGATTATTTCACTGAAATGTTAAATATAAAAGTGTTTTAATGGTTCTCATCTATGACGTACATGTAGATAGGTATAGGAACCTGATGTTTCCTACTTTGAAAACAAATAATAGAATCATTAAAGATTAGGGTTGGAAGACCTCAGGAGGTCATCTGGTCCAACTCCCTGCACAAACCAGGACCAACCCCAACTATGGTTTATGGCTTGGCTTATCCTGAATATTAATTTTATATAAAAATGACTTCATTTATCTGGTGTTTCCTTATTATTTAAGAATTTTCTATTTCATTTAAGTTATTATGTAAGTATACATTAATTCAAACTAATTTCCTTCTTCCTCCATAAGATAGAATCAACAAAACTTTTTTTTTTTTACTTAATTACATCTGAGTGGATAAATCAAATTGAGGAAAAATATTAAATAAGTTAGTTTTTTTTCAAAGGCACAGAATTCATGTTGGCCTATAAAAATAATTCTTTGTGTTCCTTATCGTTTTTTGGAGATCTCTGCAAAAACTAACTTCTAATTGCATAATTCAGGTGCTACAGTTGAACAGTTAATAACTGATTCACTTTCTTGATATTAAGAAGTTTTATTCTTTTTAGTGGAACATTTGCTATTACTGAACTGTATAGCTCGGCAAACCATGCATTTATTCTCATGAATAATTAGGGCCACCGCTAACTAATTGGGTTTCTCCATGACTGAACTGGAAAAAAGTGGTAAAAGTGACTGAAAATGCAGTTCTGATTCCCCAACCCACCTTTTTTCTATTTTAGAAGTGGTAGACTGATGTTCATTCAGACTAACTTAGAAGTTAAATTCTCAAATATGGCATAAAACCCAGAATCTTGTCTGGTCTTTATATACAAGTACAGTCAAATAACCACAACAAAGAGTGGGCCTACGGGTATGCTTCTCTCTCTTTCTTTTCCTAACCCAATCAGAGACCGCTGATGGCATTCTAGGGAAGGACTTCTAGGGGGAGGCATTGTCTCTACATTTTAGTATGTGTGAGGCGCTCTCTCCAATCCCATACAGATTTTTTCTGTTACCCATGTGAGCGAGGAGGTGAACTTCTACATGTGGGGTGAAGACTGCCAGATGTTTTGGTTTATGTTAATTTAGCTTTGGTTGTGTTCATATTCACCTATTTGAGGGCAATTATACTTCTATGTTTGCAGCCATACTTTGATCGTAAATATAGATTTTTGTATAAATTTGGATTATTTAAAACTAAAAAAGCATGCAGAGGAGACATTTCATAGAAGATACATTGATTCCCTTCAGTAATGTGAGCCTTGAGCATCTATTTTGTCTGTTTGTCCCACTAAGATCTCTCCACTTTCTTCAGCACTGTATACATGGAGTATATGCCTTGATTTAATCCTTAAGGCCATTGCCCTCCTTCTTCAAATCCCTCCTCCAGACCCACTTTGGTTGTGTCCCTTACATGAAACAGCTCAGCAACTATGGCTAAATTGTGTAGCAGTTGAAGACATCAGATTTTATTTACTAGACAATGACTTGGAATAGTTGGGAGCCATCAAATTGTGCAGTGCCTAGCCTGCGTAATATTGAGTTAGCTGCCCCTCCCCCCCCCTTTGACCACATTAATATTGAACTTTGTATTCGATTATAAACGCTTTGGGGCAGGGCCCATGTCTGTCTATTTTGAAGACTTTAAATTGAACCATAGGCTTTGTGCTGACTTTTGCACCCCACACCATAATGATCAGACTGGTGCATTCTTAAAATCGATTGATTGCTTGTCACATTTCTGAGATACCAAGGTTACTAGATACACTGCAGAAATATTGATGGATTCACACTAAAACATATATATAAACATTTGTCATTTACATATGCATTCAGTAATCTAAATGCACATGCTGTATCTAATTATTAAAATCTCCTCAATGGGGATTTATGTGCCTGTAGAGAGGGCAGAATGTTGCAGATTAAACCTGCTATGTGTGTATAACAGTGACTGTTCCCCATGCTAACTAGTCATGGATTTTTAAGCAGTATTTTCCTCCTCAGAAAGTAGTAATGATGATCAGACTTAGCTATGGCTATACTTTAACTGCTACAGCGGCACATCCACATCACTGTAGCACTTTAGATGGGAGGGTTCTCCTGTCACTGTCGTTCATCCATCTCCCCAAGAGGCAGTAGCTAGGTCAATGGAAGAATTCTTCTGTTGACCTAGCACTGTCTACACTGGAGTTAGTAACTACGTTGCTCAGGGGTATGGATTTTTCACATACTTGAGCGATGCAGCTGGGTCGACTTAACTCTTTACTGTAGATCTAAGTCACAATTGAAAGGGTTTTTTCCAATTCAATTCTAAATGGTTATGCTTGTATTCTGAATAGTTACATAGGTGGACACAAACATGTGACTTGGACCAGATTTTCAGAAGTGTTCAACACACAACAGCTCCTATTAGGCACCTAAATAAGGAGGTAAAATTTTCAAAAGTGCCCAGCTCTCTTTGAGAACAGAGGGAGCTAAAGGGTGGCAAGCACTTCAGAAAATCTAGGCCCACTTGTATGTGCTGAATCTTCTTGAAAATCTGACTCTTCAGTTATTAACAAAGCTAGCTCACTTCTATCACAATTGCATCCTTTTAACTCGATATCTTCTTTCCCTCTCAGATGATATTACCAAATATTCCATATATATGAAGATGTCCACATGGCAAATTGCATAAGCATGTGATAGAATACACAGGTTCTTGATGCCTCCTTCACTGTGCACAATATAAGATGAAAGGTTTTAAAGACGATAATAATTTTTGATGCATTTTACTACTTGAGAAATAGTATGTAGTCATGCATTAAACACTTATTCGTACTTGGTATAATGTCAGCAATTTTAATCTATCATTTCTGATTATTCTAGGTTTTTTTTTTTTTTAAACACAGAACATTGCTAGATTAACTTTCTGGAGTCCCTGGAAGGGTTGTGTTTGTGTAATTTTTCCTCAAGCTTTTTGACATTGTGTGCTATTTTTGGCAAAGCTTAAAAGCAGCAGCGGTGCACGGAAGTGTACCCCTAAATACTGCATTAAATGTTTAAATAAATTTAAATGTCTCAATGTCTATGTTTCATTCAATGTGCTCAAGTCCTAAGGTTTTTTTTCCTAATTTAGGTGTTTAGTGTCTTAATTTAGGTCATTAGTATCACGGGTCACCCAGCTAAGATATTTGGTAACTAGTATGTGCTTCTGGGTGTCACAGACCATTAGTCAGCTAACGGTGAAATCATGTAAAACTCTTTGTCACATGATGCAGTTTCTGTTAAAAGTTTGACAATCCAAAAGTATAATAAATCACTGTTGTATTGCACTTGACTTTTCTGTCAAATATAGAAAGTTTATATATATATAATAAAAAGTAACTTGTCTGAATTTTTTACAAAAGTTTGTAATGTTCTTTTTCTGTTTATTTAGGTGCTGTTTACAACTTATTGTTGACTGCCCCAGTGCTATCCAAGAGGAGCTAGATCTCATTCGTGCTCTTAGCTATCTTGAAGAATTTGGTCTGACAATCTTGCCATTACAAGGTACAATGTATTACTTATGTCCCTTACATAATTGCTTGGTGGAACATGACCTACAGTTCATTAGCTGAAATTGTGCATATCTTTAACATGAGTAATCCCAGTGAAGTTAATAAGACTCCATATGTACATATATTTTACTCTTGTGCATAAGTGCTTTGCTGCGTAAGAGTCTTAATATGCTTTCAGTTTGTAAAAGCACTTTGGGAATCCTTTGAGAGGGAAAGACACTGTTTAAATGTAATCTGTTTTCATGAAACTATTTTGAAAAAGTGAGGGGCTTGATCATCATTCCACTGACTGCAGTGGAAAGTACACCTCTGAAATGATGCCCAGAATATTCATACAACATTAATTACCTCGAAAACAACCTTTGAGAGAGTCTTTTTTTTTTTTTTCTTATTCTGCAGGGAGTTGCTGTTGAAAAAAGAATAATTTTCTTTCTTAAGCAGATTGCTGTATGGTTTCATATATTCCTATAAAACAAATTGACAGTCAAGGTCAACATTTGCAGTAGATTTCCTTTGAAGAACTCTTGATTTAAAATTGTAAATAGTTTTTTTGTGTTTCCCATTTTTTTTAAAGTGGTGTGGAGTTTGCTTTTGTTTTTCCATTGCAAATATTTTTTTAAAAGCTAAATGAAACGGATATGTTTCCATAGGAAAAGCATAAGAACTTCCTATGGCACAGGGTTGAAGGATAAAAAGGCTAGTTGCTAAACATTTCTGTATTCTGCAGTTGAATTATTCTTCTTCAAGGTGAATTTATTTATTTCGTTCAGATTATAAATGACCTTTCAGTGATATGCACAGTTCTCTTATGCCTATTTCACTTACTAAAACAGAGTAATTTAAAAAAATTGTATTGGAATATAGTTTTAATATCACCTGTAACATATCCAATTTGCCATAATTACTGTATGTGAAATGAAGCCTGTCATTTTTAATGATACTGCTTTATCCTTCTCTCTTCAAAATCTTTCGGATAAATTAATCTAGTAAAGGAATAAAAATTAAAGTTTTCATACAGCTGCAAGAAGTTTATCCAAGCTAGATGTTATCGTACAGTAATTGAAATATTTTAAAGATGACATTAAAATAGCATTAAGAGTGAGACAGTATTTAGTGCATAAAAGGAAGGAAAGAATTAAAGTTGTGGGTTTACATTCTTAGTGTACTCTGTGCTTGGGAATTGCAGTACACTTTATCAGAACCTCTCAGAACAGTGGAGAGAGGAACACCCACCCACCCACCCACCTCTCTCTCCCTCCTCCTTTCCCTCCCAATCCTGTGCAGTATCATCTTGCTCAGTAGGATGTTAGTATGCTCTCACAACCTTTCTCAGAATTTCTCTGTGGCTATGAGCCTAACCTTTAGAGTTATTTTACTTATACCGTTTTGTCTTTTAATTTCATTACCTTGGCTTTTTTTTTTTATATTAACTCCGGGTCTTGTGTTCCCCCGTCCCAACTGAACAGTCATCTCTAGTTAATTGCCAAAATGTGTATGAGTCTTGCAGTATATTTTATATATATTAAAATAGTTGATCATATCTGTACTTCTGGATGTCATCTTCCTCCTCAAATAATCTTACCAAATTTCATTTCCTCTCTCCATATCTTCTTGAGACAATGGCTCCTGACTCTGCTTTCATCCATAAAGATTTCTTTAATTTTTCACCTCTTTTTTTCTTTTTCCGCTGTGCCTCTTTTAGTTTAGTTTCTTTTCCATGTTTTCATTATTAGTTTCCCAATCATCTCTTTCAGTTTGTTTTTCTCTAGCTTTTGTTACATCTTCTTTTCTTTTAATACCTTTCTCAGTCTTTGTCTTCTGTTCCCACTAATCATTCATGTCCACCTTTGCTTGCCCATACTCTTTAAACTGAGTTTAGATGACCTTGAACTAATGAAACCTAACTAAATTGATCAAGTCCCCAAAGGTCACATTTGGGACCATCTTAGCCCTTCAAGAGTTTGACAGGAGATTTTTAGTGTTGCATGATGCCATTGATTGAAAAAAGTCTATCTTAAATGCAAGACCCTGCGTTTAATACTAGCTTGCAAAATACTCATGATACTTTACCATCCCAGCTTAAAAAATATTAGTTGCCTGATTTTTTTATTATTTTGTTTTGTTTTGTTTTTTAAATACTGGGGTATGTGAGCTAGTAGAATTTTGCAAGGCTCTATTAAAGGTATCCCAAAGGAAATATACTGGGAGCAGAAGTAGTAAATGATTTTGTAGTGTAGAAGCTGCCTGAACAGCATTCTATCATTGTGTGCCAAGAAACACTCTTTCCAGCCTACCTTCCCTGGAGGGTGGTTCAAATGTTTAAAAACATTTACAGATATCCTTGTTGTGGATCTAAAATGCTAACTTTAAGACATTATTTAGTTTGATTATCCATCCATCCGGCTGTACCACAAATTTGGACCAAATAAAAGTGTGTGTGTGTTTTTTTTAATCCCACCTGTCCTTTGTTAGAATATTCATCCACCACCTATTGTTGTAGTAGCTGAGTGCATCTTATGAATCACAGAATCATAGAAGATTACGATTGGAAGAGACCTCAGGAGGTCATCTAGTCCACCCTCCTGCTCAAAGCAACTCCAACTAAATCATCCCAGCCAGGGCTTTGTCAAGCCGGGCCTTAAAAACCTCTAAGGATGAAGATTACACCACCTCCCTAGGTAACCCATTCCAGTGCTTCACCAACCTCCTATTGAAATAGTGTTTCCTAATATCCAACCTAGACCTCCCCCACTGCAACTTGAGAACATTGCTCCTTGTTCTGTCATCTGTCACCACTGAGAACAGTCTAGCTCCATCCTCTTTGACCTCCTGAGGTCTCTTCCAACCCTAATCTTCTATGATTCTTTGGACACCCCCCCTTCAGGTATAGAATCATATAATATCAGGGTTGGAAGGGACCTCAGGAGGTCATCTAGTCCAACCCCCTGCTCAAAGCAGGACCAATCCCAGGTACTTGAAGGCTGCTATCAAATCCCCCCTCATTCTTCTCTTCTGCAGACTAAATAAGCCCAGTTCCCTCAACCTCTCCTCATAAGTCATGTGCCCCAGCCCCCTAATCATTTTCTTTGCCTTCCGCTGGATTCTCTCCAATTTGTCCACATATTTTCTGTAGTGGTGGGCCCAAAACTGAACACAATACTCCAGATGAGTTTGCTTTAAAGAAGAAGAAAAAAAAATCCCTCCTGTCTTCCTTCCCTGCCAACAAGAAGTAGGATTGGGGTCCTCGTCTGTTCTCCCTTCTCCTTTAATGAATCCATTTCTACATTATTTGAATATGACTGTGCAGTAAGGATTGAGAGCCACCGAGAGGAGGATTGAGAGCTTCCAAAGTTCCTGCCTTGACTCTTGTGCTGATCTGGCCAGTATTAACAGTCGTTCACTTTAACGAGCTATACAATTCACCCTTGTTTTTTATCTTCTCAGTCTCAAGAAGACTAACATATTTTACAAATGCAGTCTTGTGTTCAGCTCTTGAGTCCCTGCTATATACATAAAACATAAAAATTACCTTGTTGAATGTATTTGTATGAGAAACAAAATTGCCCTTCTGAATTAATGGCTTTAAAAATTAATGACATGATTATAAAGCTTTTAGGACTTTTAAATATTGTATGTGAAAATTGCTTAAAAACTTTTTTACACTTTTAGGGTAGAGGGCCAAGTTCAAACATTAAGTTCTTAATTTTATATATATATATTTTTTTTTACTCTGAAGGGGTGCTGTTTACTGTGTTTCAATCTTAAAATGGGACTCCTTGTATCTTTTTAAACTTTATTTGGTAGTTCCATTTAGATTAAGGATGCGATCCTTCTTTCAGTTATACTGTTGTACATCAAGGCTAATTATTGAAGTGAGTAGGGTTACACCAGTGTAGAACTGGTGTAAATTATTGCCTATTCAGGCCCATAAATCCATTAGTTTTTACCTCTAAGTTCTGGGCTAAATTCTGTTCCGTTATGTCAGTGTAATATTTTAATGCAAGTTGAGTTAGTTACAATTTGTACTGGTGTATAGGCAGTTCAATTAAAATCTTGGGGTGTGATTTTACCAAAATAGTCAGCGTTGACCAAATTGCACTTAAGTAAGTGGTAGAACTCCAAAGTTAGGCCAATACTGAATACATCTGAAAGTCCCCATCTTTGATATTTATGAAACTGCAATATTGGCTTGGTGTGTGGTATTACTTTTAATTAGAATGAGAAATACTCTGACAAATTTAACTGGTGCAATCAGTAAATGCAAAGATTTTAATGGTGCCCACTAATGTGTTGTGTTACAGAACCTACAAAAAAAATCTGTACTTTTGTTATGTTTCTTGTCTTAAATCTTTACTCTGCTTGACTTTTAGAAGTTTACCATTTGATTTCCAGAGGCCACTTATGAAATTTGCAATACATGGCTGCTTTTATGTTGTTCTTATTGATATGTCTGCTGATGGAGATTTTTCTAATATAAATATAATATGCTAATATTGATTTTTTTCCCTGCATATATTAATTTCCTGCTCATTTAATTTAGAATTAAGTAGGGAGGTTTGATGGCTAGTACTCTGTATGTTCTCTTCATAGCTTGTCCAGTAATATGAAACAGACGCATTTTTTAGAGTGGGAAGCTTGCTCAAAACAATTTTGAAGGTCAATACTGCTATAAAAATATAAATTTTAGTTTTATATTACAGTGTATAGTTTTATATAAACTATAAAATTTCATTGTGTTAAACACTTTATAGACTATCAGCATTAAAATATGCAATGTAGTAATTGTTTGCGATTCCTGTTAAAATGTGCCTCTGAAGTCCTAATGTAAATTGCAAGTTTTTCAGGACAGGGGAGATGTATTTTATGTGTTTGTGAAGGACCTTCTGCACAGATAGTCCTCATTAAATTAAAACAAATAATTATACTACCTTAGAAAACGGGGTGTTTTGTTTATGCAGCGTGAGTAAGTGTGCCTGCATTTAAAAAAAGTTATACATATAAATTAGAGAAAGTTTGTGCATATAATCTCCCTTTAACATATTGTATTTTCTTTTAAACAGTGCGTTTATGTTCTGATCGACTCAGCCTCATCAAGGACTGTATTGCTCAGTTGCCCACAAACTACAAACAGTCTGCCAAGCTCCTGGGACTTGCAGATTTACTGAGAGTTGCAGGTAAACTGTTGTAAATGTTAAACTGCAATGCAAGATATGTGTTATGCTCAAGGGCATTTGAGTTAATCATCAGGATGTACTCAAGGATGTCACTAAAATGTCCTCTGGAGGAGCAGTCTTCAAGGAAGACTGACCTATTTTACAGGTGATCTTGTATTCAGCTGTTGCGACCTTCTTTAATACATAAAATAAGAACAGCCTTGTTTAATTTAGATTTTGAGCCAAAGATCATGTCAAATTTGGATTTACAGGTGAGAATATTTTATAATCCTGAATCAATTAGTATTAAAATTCCACTAATTTTCTTATCCCTGTCAAGTATGCTAGTTTGATTTAACAACAGTCCTGTTCATGTAAGAGAAGAAAAGTTGTGTGTCACATAAACTTCAGTGTAACAACATGATTTATCTACAGTTGACTTAGCATATTATTATGTTGAGTTTTAGGGCTGAATGCTTATTTAAGGTGTTGAACGTCTTGCAGGATTGGACCTGCAGTACAATAGCTGTTCCATATTGAATTTTCTGCTTTTTCAGAAAAGGAAGGCAGTGAACTTGGCATGTTCCCCCAGACTTCTCTGCTGAGGTGTTTTCAACACTCTAATTATGTTTAATGCTAATAATACCTAGAATTTCTATATAACTCTTTTCACGCGTAGCTCAATATAGGTGTTGCTATTGGTATTTTGGAGGCATCACTAGAGATTCTATGGTTAGAACTGTGTTGAAGTTTTGGGTGTTGGTTGGGAAAACTAATCTTCCTCCCTGGCTACCCTATACATCTTGCCTCCCACGCCTTAGACCAAATCACTGATTTTCCTTTTTCATGTCAGTGTTACCTCTTGCATATAGTTTATGCTAAATACTTGTTTAGTTTCTGTTTATGTTTACAAGGGTATTGGTGTGCATAAAACATATTTTCTCCAGACTTTGAATGTGAGGCATGTGACCAGCATGTGTTCTGAGATGGCTTACATAAAGTCTCATGCATCTTGTTGACTTTCTTTATCACTAATGTCTGTATACTAATGCGAGAAGTATGGGGAATAAGTAGAATGAACTTGAAATGCTAGTAAATGAACACAACTATGACCTAGTTGGTATCACGGAGACTTGGTGGGATAATATGCATGACTGGAATATTGGCATAGAAGGGTACAGCTTGCTCAGGAAGGGCAGGCAGGGAAAAAAGGGAGGAGGTGTTGCCTTATATATTAAAAATGTACACACTTGGACTGAGGTTGAGATAGAAATAAGAGACAGACTTGTTGAAAGTTTCTGGGTAAGGATAAAAGGGGTAAAAAACAAGGGTGATATCATGGTAGAGGTCTACTACAGACCACCAAACCAGGAAGAAGAGGTGGATGAGGGTTTTTTTTAAACAACTAAAAATCATCCAAAGCACAGGACTTGGTGGTGATGGGGGACTTCAACTACTCATACATCTGTTGGCAAAATAACGCAGCAAGGCATAGATTATCCAACAAGTTCTTGGAATGTATTGGAGACAATTTTTTATTTCAGAAGGTGGACAAAGCTACTAGAGGGGAGGCTGTTCTAGATTTGATTTTTACAAATAGGGAAGGAACTGGTTGAGAATTTGAAAGTGGAATGCAACTTGGGTGAAAGTGATCATGAAATGGTAGAGTTCACGATTCTAAGGAATGGTAGGAGGGAGAACAGCACAATAAAGACAATGGATTTCAAGAAGGCAGACTTTATCAAACTCAGGGACTTGGTAGGTAAAATCCTGTGGGAACCAAGTCTAAGGGGAAAAACAATTGGCCGTTTTTCAAAGAGAGATATTAAGGGCACAAGAGCAAACTATCCCACTGTGTAGGAAAGATAGGAAGTATGGCAAGAGACCACACAGGCTTAACCAGGAGATCTTCAATGATCTAAAATTCAAAAAAGAGTCCTACAAAAAGTGGGAACTTGGACAAACTACAAAGGATGAATATAAACAAATAACACAAGTATGTAGGGACAAAATTAGAAAAGCCAAGGCACAAAATGAGATCAAACTAGCTAGAGATATAAAAGGAAACAAGAAAACATTCTACAAATACATGAGAAGAAAGAGGAAGACCAAGGACAGAGTAGGCCCGTTACTCAATGAGTGGGGGGAAAGACGACAACAGAAAATGTGGAAATGGCAGAGGTGCTTAATGACTTCTTTGTTTTGGTTTTTACCAAGAAGGTTGCTGGCGATGGGACATCTAAAATAGTGAATACCGGTGAAAATGTGGTAGGATCAGAGTCTAAAATAGGGAAAGAACAAGTTAAAAATTACTTAGACAAGTTAGATGTCTTCAGGTCGCCAGGGCCTGATGAAATGCATCCTAGAATACTCAAGGAGCTGACTGAGGAGATATATCTGAGCCATTAGAAATTTATCTTTGAAAGGTCATGGAAGATGGGAAACATTTCAGAAGACTGGAAAAGGGAAAATATAGTGCCCATCTATAAAAAGGGAAATCAGGACAACCTGGGGAATTACAGACCAGTAGCATAGCGGCCGCTCCCCCACTGAGCACAAGTGGTGCCTTGTCAATTTCATGGCGCCTTTTTAATTTTTACTCACCCGGAGAGAAGAGGGGGAGCGATTTAAAAAAAAAAAAGGCGCCACCCGCTGCGGTGCTTTTACTCAACCGGCAGCGCTCTAGGTCTTCGGCGGCCCTTCGCCGGCGGGACCTTCACTCACTCCGCAGGTCTTCGATGGCATTTTGGCGGTGGGTCCTTCAGTGCTGCCGAAGGCACCTGTAGCGAGTGAAGGGCCCGTTGCCGAAGACCCGGAGTGCTGCCGGGTGAGTAAAAGCGCTGCAGCGGGTGGCGTCTTTTTTTTTTTTTTAATCGCTCCCCCTGTTCCCTCCACCTGGCTACGCCACTGTTACAGACCAGTTGGCTTAACTTCTGAACCCAGAAAGATAATGGAGCAAATAATTAAGCAATCAGTTTGCAAACATCTAGAAGATAATAAGGTGATAAGTAACAGTCAGTATGGATTTGTCAAGAACAAATTATACCAAACCAATCTCATAGCTTTCTTTGACTGGGTAACCAGCCTTCTGGTTACGGGGGAAGTGGTAGATGTGCTATATCTTGACTTTAGTAAGGCTTTTGATACTGTCTTGCATAACCTTCTCATAAACAAACTAGGGAAATACAACAAAATGATCTGGAAAAATTGGAGAAATGGGCTGAAGTAAATAGGATGAAATTCAATAAGGACAAATGCAAAGTATTCCACTTAGAAAGGAACAATCAGTTGCAACATACAAAATGGGAAATGACTGCCTAAGAAGGAGTACTGAGGAAAGGGATCTGGGGCTTGTCAGGGCTGTATCCCCACTTTGAACTTTAGGGTACAAATGTAGGGGCCTGCATGAAAACTTTTAAGCTTAACTACCAGCTTAGCTTTGGTCCGCTGCCACCATTCCAAGAATTCCCATGCCTGGGAAGCCTTGAGAAACCTTCACCAATTCCCTGGTGAATACAGATCCAACCCCCTTGGATCTAAAACAAGGAGAAATTAACCGTTCCCCTCCTTCCTCCCACCAACTCCTGGTGAATCAAGATCCAAACCCCTTGGATCTTAAAACAAGGAAAAATCAATCAGGTTTTTAAAAAGAAGGCTTTTAATTAAAGAAAAAGGTAAAAATCATCTCTGTAAAATCAGTATGGAAAATAACTTTACAGGGTAATCAAAGTTAAAGAGCTCAGAGGACTCCCCTCTAGTTTTAGGTTTAAAGTACAGCAAACAAAGATAAACACTCTAGTAAAAGGTACATTTACAAGTTGAGAAAACAAAGGAAAACTAACACGCCTTGCCTGGCTATTTACTTACAAGTTTGAAATAGGAGAGACTTGTTTAGAAAGATGTGGAGAACCTGGATTGATGTCTGGTCCCTCTCAGTCCCGAGAGCAAACGAAACCCAAAACAAAGAGCACAAACAAAAGCCTCCTCTCCCCCCCCCCCCCCACCAAGATTTGAAAGTATCTTGTCCCCTTATTGGTCCTTTAGGTCAGATGCCAGCCAGGTTACCTAAGCTTCTTAACCCTTTACAGGGAAAAGGATTTTGGAGTTTCTGGCCAGGAGGGATTTTATAGTACTGTACACAGGACAGCTGTTACCCTTCCCTTTATAGTTATGACAGGGGTCATAGTGGATCATAAGCTAAATATGAGTCAACAATGTAACGGTGTTGCTAGAAAGCAAACATCATTCTGGGATGTATTAGCAAGAGTATTGTAAACAAGACACAAGAAGTAATTCTTCCGCTCTACTCCGCGCTGATTAGGCCTCAACTGGAGTATTGTGTCCAGTTCTGGGCGCCACATTTCAGGAAAGTTGTAGAAAAATTGGAGAACGTCCAGAGAAGAGCAACAAAAATGATTAAAGGTCTAGAAAACATGACCTATGAGGGAAGATTGAAAAAATTGGGTGGTTTAGTCTGGAGAAGAGAAGACTGAGAGGGGACATGAAAACAGTACATAAAAGGTTGTTACAAGGAGGAGGGAGAAAAATTGTTCTTCTTAACCGCTGAGGATAGAGGACAAGAAACAATGGGCTTAAATTGCAGCAAGGGTGATTTAGGTTGGACATTAGGAAAAACTTCCTAACTGTCAGAGTGGTTAAGCACTGGAATAAATTGCCTAGGGAGGTTGTGGAATCTCCATCATTGGGGATTTTTAAGAGCAGGTTGGACGAACACCTTTCAGGGATAGTCCAGATCAGGGGTCGGAAACCTTTCAGAAGTGGTGCGCCGAGTCTTCATTTATTCACTCTAATTTAAGGTTTTGTGTGCCAATAATACATTTTAACATTTTTAGAAGGTCTCTTTCTATAAGTCTATAATATATAACTAAACTATTGCTGTATGTAAAATAAATAAGGTTTTTAAAATGTTTAAGAAGCTTCGTTTAAAATTAAATTAAAATGCAGATCTTGTCAGTTTAGTGTGATCCTTGCCCTTGCTTTTCCTTGCTGAGTTTCCCAAT